GAGGCACAGTGGGCCTCAGGGGCCCCTGAATGGTACGAAAAGCCGGGGGCACCTTGGGCCAGGAGCACCCCCACGGCAAGCTTGTACCGTGACGACCTCGGCGCTGGCTTCCGACACCGCGTGGATCGCTCGGCCTTGAGCGGCTGCGGCTTCCAGATAGCACAGATCGTTCGATGTCGGCTGGTTCAGAGCGACTGGCGGCGCTCGCTCTCCTCCGACGCTGCATTTTTTTTGCGTGGCGTGGGCCCCCGATGCATATCGACCACTTCTTCTCCCGAGCAGCTTCTTGACGGTCCTGGGGCCAGGAAGCGGCCTCCAGAGGCCGAGAACGACGAAACACTGGCCGCCACGGTTGTTTTGTGTCGCCTGGATCTGAGGGTTCAACCCTGGCCGCCCGCGCTGGGGTCGCCGCCGCGCCGGCACGACACGACCCTACCGCAGAAGGCGCCGACCGTAGGGCCACGCGAGGCCGTGCACACCGGACGTGCTTCCCCGCCCACGGGAGTGCCGAACACGATGCCGAGCATGATCGGCTCGTAGAGCCCGGCCAGGCTGATCGAAGTGGAGACGTCCGGGACATCCTCGGGGGCCCGAATCTGCGACGGTATGGTTTCTTCAATCTGGGCGTTCTTCCTGAGATGCGGTCTCCGAAGCCCGCTGTTGTATCCGGCCCCCTGGACAATCCAACACGAAACCGGGACCCAAAACCGTCCCCAAGGAGGGGCTCAAGGAGGAGGAGGGGGAGGAGGGGGAGGAGGGGGAGGGGGAGGGGGAGGAGGAGGAGGAGGAGGAGGAGGAGGAGGAGGAGGAGGGGGAGGGGAGGGAGAGGAGGTGGGGAGGAGGAGAGGTGAGGAGGAGGAGGAGGGGAAGGGGAAGGAGGAGGAGGAGGAGGAGGAGGAGGAGGAGGAGGCCTCCCTGTCGCCGCTCGACGCCCCCGGGAGGCCCTCTTCGGAGGACCCCTGGGGCCACGCCTGGCCCGAAGCCTACCGGCAGAGCTCCGAGGGGTGACGCGCCGGCCCGCGTCGGCACTCGCCCGGGGTTCCACCCGGGTTCCACGCGGTGGCGGCGCGCAAAAGGGCGGCGGCGCGAGGGGGGGCGGCCCTCCAGGCAGGCGGGGGGGAGGAGGGAGGAGGGGGGAGGAGGAGGAGGAGGAGGAGGAGGAGGAGGAGGAAGAGGAGGAGGAGGAGGAGGAGGAGGAGGAGGAGGAGGAGAGGTTCTGGGGCGGCGGGGGGCCTTCTCAGAGGCCTCGCCTGGCCCTTCGAGGACAGCCCCACATGCTGATGAGGATAGTGGTGGTGTTGTTGATGACGCTGACGATGAGGATGGTGGTGATGATGATGATGATGATGATGATGATGATGATGATGATGATGATGATGATGATGATGATGATGATGATGATGATGATGATGATGATGATGATGATGATGGCGATGCTGGTGGTGGTCATGATGGTGCTAGTGACGATGCCGATGATTATGATGATGACGATGATGCTGGTGGTGATGGTGGTGATGATGACGATGCTGATGATCATGATGATGCTGATGATGCTGCTGATGACGACGATGATGATGATGCTGGTGCTGGTGCTGATGCTGATTATGATGATGATGCTGCTGCTGATGATGTTGCTGATGCTGTTGCTGCTGCTGCTGATGCTGCTGATGATGCTGCTGATGCTGCTGATAATGATGATTATGATGCTGATGCTGATGCTGATGCTGATGCTGATGCTGATGCTGCTTCTGATGATGCTGCTGATGATGACGATGACGACGATGACGATGATGATGCTGCTGATGATGATGATTATGATGACGATGACGATGACGATGACGATGACGATGACGATGATGATGATGATGATGATGATGATGATGATGATGATGATGATGATGATGATGATGATGATGATGATGATGATGATGATGATGATGATGACAAGGAGGAGGAGGAGGAGGAGGAGGAGGAGGAGGAGGAGGAGGAGGAGGAGGAGGTGGGGGAGGAGGAGGAGGAGGAGGCCTTCCCGCCTTCCTGGGAGCCCCCCGCCCCCCTCGCGGCCACGCCCGTGGTGCGCGCCGCCGGCATCGGGGACCTGGGCCCGCCACGAACGTGCTCCCGACCCTGGGTAAGCGAGGGGAGGGGATGGGGTGGGTAGACCGAAGGTCGACCCCTTGGGACGGATAGGACGGACGGGGATGCTGGTCCTCCGCCCCCTCGTCGTCGTCCTCTTCCTCCTCCCTGTTGTTCTCGTTGCCCTCGTGGTCGTCGTCGTCGTCGCTGTCCGCCTGGGCCCCTCAGCTCCATACATAACAGAAAACCGCATCCCCGACACAAGCCGAATCCATAATCCGCCGGCCCCCTTGCGGGACCACCAGGCTGCGAGGGTGAAGATTGCAGCTCCCTGTTCCAGTTACAATTTGCAATTTCCACTGTTACAATCCTGCTTTCTGCTTCCTTACTGCTGTCCCCGCGAGGGGTGGGAGCCCCAAACGGGATTTTTGTTCCACGCCCTCGGAGGGTTCTCAGAATTCTTAGGAGGGCGTGGGACACATACAAATACTTGAGATTCGCGTCCCCGAGGCCATAATCCTAATAAATTACGCCATGTTGGCGCCCCCGCGGCCATACACCGTTGTAAATTACACAATATTCGCGTCCCCGAGGCCATAAGCCCTAGTCAATTATTTGATATTCGCGTCCCCGAGGCCGGAAACTTTTGCAAATCAAGCGATATTCGCGTACCCGAGGCCAGAAACCTTCGTACATCACTTGGTATTCGCGTCCTCGAGGCTATACGTCCTAATAAGTGATGCGACATTCGCGTCCCCGAAACTGTAAACCTTCGTAACTTACGCAATATTTGCGTCCCCGAGAGCATCAACCCTGGTAGATTACGTCGCATTCGCACCCCAGAGGCCACAGTCCCTTACAAAAGAACGCCGATGAGCCCGACGACCGTCCCAACCGTTCGATTTTGTCTAATGCAGCCTCAAGCAGCCCCCACTTTTTCCAAGAAAGCTTCCAATGCACAGCATGCGGAGGCAAGTTCAAAATGCAACACCAAGTTCGGCAATATCATCATAATCTCAATTTGTCTTGTCAATGAATCATCGTCCTCGCATGAAGTTCCGACGCTGCTTCACGGCGGCGCCCAAGCTTCCCGATACAGCTATTGCATACCCCATTATCCGAGAGAGGAGGCCGGCGGCAGGGGGCGAAGCCCTTACGGATTTCTCTGATCTTGTGAGTGTCCTGGGGTCAGGTCGGAAGGGGGCCTCGCAGGGGTGGTCAGGAGGGCCGTCGTGAGCGTTCGTCGCCGTAGCACTTTGTGCGAGAATTTTCTCGCCAAGACGGTTTTGGCGCGCGAATGTTCGCCACGAGTGTTTCCTTTGTTCCGCAAGCTCGCCCACTCTGGGACCGCTCCTGCAGACGCCCCCGGTCCCTGACCCCAAGACATACCCTAAATCGACCCTGCGTGGCTCTCAGACCCGGGTCAGCAAGCAGCGTGGATCGGAGGGGATTTGCTGACCTCCGTTAACGCTGCCCCTTGTTTCTTGGCATGAGAGAGGCGGGTCCTGGTAGAAACGGCTCCTGGAAATTGGGGCCTTCCCCCGAGACCAACTCTTCATCCGAGTAGTTTTCTGACAGCCTCAGGGCCTGGTGAGGGCCCCAGAAGCCATCCAGGACCAGTGTCCCTCAGGACCCCTTCCCTTCATGGCGAGTTCCCTACACGCAAGAGTGGTTTTTGCGGCAGTGGTGGCCTGCGTGCCTGGGGTTGGGCTCCCCCCGCGCTTCCCGAAAACCGAGCACCAAAGGCCGCTCCAGCGAAGGGTCATCAGATTTTCGGGTCAGAACTCGTGTCTCTGGCGGCCGTTCGAGACGAACCCCTGGAAGGCTCTCGGCGAAGCGCAGCTGCTGAAAACACCAAGAAGGCTGGAAAATCGCCGCGAGCAGCCGCAAGCGCACCAAAAGCCTCTTGGCAAGCGTTTTTTCACTATGGGCTTCGAAGGTCGGGGGAGGGGGTGGTCTGGACCAGTGCTTGGCCGATCTGATTCTGCCAGTCGCGCAAGCAGACTGGAGGGGGGGTGGGTCCTGACCAGTCGCCAACAGCAACCACCCAAAGCAGCCAAAATCTGGTCTCTAGGGGGGAGGGGGGGGGGCCTGGGGCCCGCGCCGGTCGGCTAAACAATACAACAAAAACGGGCGACTTTACCTCTGGCGTGCCGCTGGTGTTTCGGCGCCCCCGGCATCCGTCACGGTCGCCTGCGCCGCGGCCGGCGCGAGGGCGGCCACCGCCGCGAGCGTCGCGGGCGCGGCGCGCGGCGCGGCCGGCACGAAGGCCGCTGGGCAGGCCCAGAGCATCAGAAGCAGAGCCATCGCGGCCGGCACGGCTGCGCTGCGGGACCGGGCCATCGCGCCTGTACTTTCTTTCGGCACGAAAGAAACCCAGATCTCTGACCATATACCAGATGTGCTCGTGGCTCGCGTCCTGAACAAAATCCGGACTGGAATCTGTTCGCAGTTTTACGCCTGTGGGGGCCCTCGCTGGGCCCTGGGACCGCAGAACAACTGCTGAGGCTGAAAAACCGGTCCCGGGGAAAGGATGGGGACCTCTGGGGACCCCGTACTGAACATATCCAGACATGGCCTGTCTGGCATTATATATTACTGCAATCGCGTTTCGCTAGCGGGCTCTAACCGAAGTTTGATGTTGCCCAACGTGGACCCCAAACAGTGTTTTTCCTAGCAAAAGAAATTGTACAACCTACGTGGAGCAACCATGTGGTACAATCTATGCTGCGCAATAGATACATATACATATATGTATATATACACATTTACACACACATATATATATATATATATATAGATATGTAGTGCAATCTACGTTGTTCAACCGATGTGGATACATTTAGGATATGATATACATATGCATGAGTATATATCTATATATATAACCATAACTATATACATTTCCATATTATATATAAATGTAGATCTAAATATAAATATGAGTCTCCGAACATCTGCATCTCCACATGTATGGATAGGAGTATATATATACATACATACGTGCATGAACACATCTGTAGATATACATATTCATAGACTGTGCAATCTATGTTGTGTTTTTGGCCCCCTCGACTTTTCGAGCTTCCAGCGCTGTATGACTGCCAAAGAGCTCCCCAAAAACCGCCCTCAGACGGCCCAGGAGTGCCCCAAAAGGGCACCCAGATGGCGCAAGATGGCGCCAAAACAGCCCCAGAGGCGCCCAGGACGGCCCAAGAGTGCCCGAAGACAACCCCAAGAAAGGCCCAAGAAGGGGACCCGAACGCAAAGTCCGAGTCCTCCACGTCAAGAAGCAACCAGAAGGCCCCAAGGATGCGCCAAGAGGCCCCCAAGAGGCCCGAAAAGACTTCTCAACGGCCCGGAAGACGCCACAAGAGGCCCCAACACGGCTCCAAACATGCCTCCAGACGGCCCCCGAGCGGCCGCCCGCGACATCCTAACGAACATCCTCGAGGCGTGCGACCCTCGACCAAGGTACGGTGGCGGGTTGGGCCGACGACCATTC